GTGGACTTCTTCTCCAAGGTATATACAGGTAAGCTCCTGTATTCTTAGGAGAAAAAAAATCCTACATAGAATCAGTATGTGTGTGTGAATCTACATCTTCTCATAAATATGGCATGTCTGTATTGCCCATATATGTGTACATATATCTGCATACTATGAAATCAAGTATAGGAATTTTTTTCCATCTTATATTTTATATGCTTATGGTTGGTGATTGAGCTAATGGCTATAAAAAGGGAAGATTCTACTCATATGTGGACATTAGATCAAGGGCAAACACAACAATGGGATTGGACTATGAGCACATGATAAAAGCGAGAGCACACAAGGGAGGGGTGAGGATAGGTAAGACACCTAAAAAACTAGCTAGCATTTGTTGCCCTTAATGCAGAGAAACTAAAGCAGATACCTTAAAGCAACTGAGGCCAATAGGAAAAGGGGACCAGGTACTAGAGAAAAGGTTAGATCAAAAAGAATTAACCTAGAAGGTAACACCCACGCACAGGAAATCAATGTGAGTCAATGCCCTGTATAGCTATCTTTATCTCAACCAGCAAAACCCCTTGTTCCTTCCTATTATTGCTTATACTCTCTCTACAACAAAATTAGAGATAAGGGCAAAATAGTTTCTGCTGGGTATTGAGGGGGGGAGCGGGAGGGGGTGTGGAGTGGGTGGTAAGGGAGGGGGTGAGGGCAGGGGGGAGAAATAAACCAAGCCTTGTATGCACATATGAATAATAAAAGAAAAATGAGAAAAAAAAAAAGGGAAGATTCTAATCCACTCACTTTGTTTACAGTTGCAATTTTAAGCTTTAAAATTATACAATGAATTGCTACTTTATTAGTTACAAGTTTTAAAGTGGCATGAAGCTTTTGGCAGTCTGATTTCAACCAGAATTAAGAGCAAAAGTTATTCTCCACAACTCACACTTACAAAGGCTTTAGTTGGTCCATAGCATTTGTAGTGAAAACAAATCAACATGCTTGATTCTTTAAGCTCAATAAAACAGAACATCTCCTCAGTGCCATGGCTGGAGTTAAAACAGCCAAAACTGGTGCTTAAAAATAACTCATTAAATAAGTACTGCAGACAACATGACAGGCCTGGGGATGCAGCAGTGAGCAAGGAAAGCAAGATGCCTGCTTTCATGATGTTTATAACTGCAAAGTCTTGTTGAGTGTTGGGACATCTGCTCTTCGGGATAACAGGCCGCTATCTAGACTTTACACTTTATTGGTGTAATGGTCAAGAGGTAGCTGGAGTTATCTTGTGAGGTTTTGGGTGAGCTATTTGGAGCCCCAACACAAAGCATTGATTCAGGAACTCCTTTTAGCCACTAGTATACCAGCACTGTCCTACCTAGCAATACAGCTCACACTTTTTTGGGGATGGGGTGATGGGGTTGGGACCAGGGTTTGAACTCAGGGCTTCATGCTTGCAAAGCAGGCACACTACTGCTTGAGTCATGCCTCCAGTCCATTTTGCTCTGGTTATCTTTTGGAGATGGGGGGTCTCATGGATTATTTGCCAAGGCTGGCCTGGATCTATGATCTTCCTGATCTCTGCCTCCCAAGTAGTTAGGACTATAGGCTTGAGCCACCAGTGCCCAGTAGCTCATGCTTTTAAAATGATCTAGACAGCACCCATCGAAGGAACCCTATGGAATCCTCTATTAGCTTGTGCTGCCATTTAGCTCTTACCCAGGAAATGGCAGGATGGTATTAAGGAAATTCTCATGGAGAATCTTTGGTGAATATTGGCCTCTGTGTCTTTTAAGGCTGAAGGCTTGGTCATCATTGTTTAATCTACTTCATTGTATCATTGTTTAATCTACTCCTTCATTGTTTATTAATTGATCACTGATAAAGTTATCATGTAACCCAGTGTCTGTTAAATGAGCTATAAAAAACACCTTAGAAATACAAGAGGATTGCACTATGACTTGTAGGTCAAAACTAATTCTAGGTGAGAGGGCAAAGAAGGAAATAATGCTGGTTGTTTCCACCTAAATCCTGATCCTATTAATTTAGAATTCCTTTTCATGTGATCCTTATCAGAGAATTGGTACAATGGACAAACAGCCAAAGTGCTCAGGTCTACCTATGAGAGTGACCCAGTAAAGAGAAGCCCACTTCAGCTAGGGAGAGGAAAGTAGAGACTTAGAATAGCTACATTAATTTTAACATCATAAAGCAGTTAAATTTGAGGGTGGAAGAGGGCAGACTTAAATGGGAGCAACAGGTGCAAACTGGAATCCTGCTCAGCAAACCACTTTATAAGACTAGAACACGAGATACATTTGCCTAAAGAAGACCGTGTGTTCGGCGGGGAGGAGGGCATGGCCTAAACAATGTATGCACATGTGAGTGAATGTAAAAACGATAAAAAAAAAGCAGCAGCAGCATTGGACTTGGTGCTAGAGCCAGGTTGCTTAAACATTAAAAAAAAAACCCAAAACACTGTCATCTTGCTGGGCACCTGTGGCTCACATTTGTAATCCTAGCTACTCAGGAGGCAGAGATCAGGATTGTGGTTCGAAGCCAGCCCAGGCAAATAGTTCTGGGAGACCCTATCTCAAAAAAACCCATCACAAAAAAGGACTGCTGGAGTGGATCAGGGTGAAGGCCCTGAGTTCAAACCCCAGTACCACAAAAAAACCAAAAGCCATGTTTAATAACTACTATAAGACTCCAGACAACTGGTAATACATACCATTTCTTAAAGCAATCAGTATTGCCCACAATATTAGTAACATCTGAATGGCACATGGAACAGAAGGGAGCTTTTACTCAGCCTAGTGTGGAATGCACTAAAATAGTACTGGGCCAGGGTAAGTGGGAGAACTTCCAGGGACCAAGAACAAGGGCACAGAGTAGTCAACATGGAGCTTTGGGAGGCAGGCTTGGTGGCCCACATTTGTAGCCACTGCTACTCAGGAGGCCAAAGCAGGAGGCTCACTTGAGTAGAGTTGTTTGAGACCAGCCTGGGGAACATCATGAGACCCCATTTCAAACAAAAAATGGAGGTTTTGGGAGAATCACTAGCAGTCCCACTGGCCTTAGGGTGACACAATATCCAAGGAAGAGCATATGCCCAAGACACAGCCAACCTTGGAAGGCTTCAACCTGGGTAGCAACAAGATCAATGTTTGCCATTTAGATGAATCACTGGCAGCTGGGCAGAGAAAGAACTCAGGAACACTAGAGATAGTAAAACCCAGTTAATCCCACATTAAATATATTGAGCTGTTATAAAATTAAGTGAGGACTAAGACTGCTGGAACCAAACTCTGAAGTGCAGGAAGGGGGTCATATGTGTCACACAACTCTAGAATAGGAAATGCCAAAAGCGTGTGATCTACAGTCCAGGTGAAAAAACTTCACCCCTGGAATCCCAAATCCCCAAAGTTAGAGGTACAGAAAGAAGCTGGTCAGCAATGTGACCCTAGAACAGATAAACCTGAGCTTATTTTGCCTCTGAACAACACAAAACATTCCCCCACTTTTGGTAGGAAATAAAGAAATGGCCCATAGGTTTTTTACAATACCACAAAGAAACAAGTCAGAAGAGATCTTGTAAATGTTAGCTTGATTTATAAGTGCTGCTCTGGGCAGCTACAGTCTGTTTACAATGAGGAGTTACGTAACTTTGAACATACTGTACATGGCAATTAGAAATCGTCATGGCAAGAGAAAACCACAGACGGCTGCTGCAACCAGCACAAAAACAACCAGAGAACAGCAGCGGAAATGTAGGGATGAAAGTGGGGTGTGTTTATTATAAAAGAAAAAAATAACTCCTTGGGAATCTTAACAAAGAAAGGAATATTCTTAACTGGGAAAAAAGACACTAGTATACTAAATTACAAGTGTTTTAACTCCAGCTCCGTCCCCAACACTTCTAAGAGTGGAGTAGGAGGAAACAGTTGAAATAGACAATTCTGTAAAATTAGACTTAGAAACCCTACAGATTAAAATCTAAACATGTTTTACTTAAAAAAAAAAATTTAATATACTAAAAAGGCCTGCTTTAATGACATGCTAGTCCCACCAGAAAATAACTCCAGTGTCCCCTTGTCAGTAACAATGTTTAAGTTGACCAGCCAACTCATACTTTTAAACCCATGTGTGGACGAGTATGTGTGTCTTTTAAACCTAGTCTTAGGCTCAGGTGACAGCTAACGATGTGCATACATCTGTTAATTGTCCAGTGTTGACATCTGCAGAAAAGTGGGCAGGGAAACTCCCAAGTGGTAAATGAAGGACTAAGGTCCCCCTCCCCCAAACCAACCTCTCCAGTACTACATCTTCCCCTAACCCTTACTCAAAAGGAGCTCCTTATTTCTAAACCAAACTCAAATTTGGCACCCAGCGACCAGGATGGTTTTCTCCTTCAGAAACACACATATCCACAAACCCATATATATATATGTATAATTTTTTTGTTTTTATATTTAAATATAAAAATACTACTATGCTTTGTGTTATAAATGGAGGACCAAGTGATTAGAACTTTTTCTTCTTTTAAGGTAGGGACATCCATCAGTTTATACTCTGAGCTTTATATTCACAGGAGGGGATGTGGTCCCAAGCAAGGGAAAACCCAAAGCAACAGATCCAGGGTTTCCTCCTTGATCCCCAATCCCTCCCCTTCCTCGCCTAACTTCCACTTCTAATACAAAGTTGGTTATACCTCAAGAAAGCTTTCCACCAAGAGGGGAAATCCTAACCTAACCAGTCAGGCCTCCCCTTTCAGCTATGCTGAAGAAAAAATTCTCCCTTTCCTCTGTCACAAACACATCCACCCTGTGTGGATAGCTACACCTAGTAGACAAGCACACCTGGTGAGATGGAAACAGCGGTTACTCACTCACAACCCCCCCCCACCCCACCCCACTAACACATTAGAAAGCTTCAGTGACAGGAAAAACAGGAGAGGTTGGGTGTTAAGAACTTGACCCTCTTACCCTGACAAAAGAAAGCAAGATTAACTGGGCATAAGGAATAAAAAAGACCTTAATATTCTACCCTTTGAGTTACAATGGGAACAATCAGGACAACTGGGAGAGGGGGAAGTGGTGGTGTGGGACGAAGCACTGGGAGGGGCTGGATGGCTGGAAGTCTAAGTTCACTTAGTTCTTGTACTGGAAGGGCTCATCCCCAGTCTCGTTGAGAAGACACGTGCGGATGATGGCTTCCGTCACTGCGAAGGGGTCGCAATTGGCAGAAGGGCGACGGTCTTCAAAGTAACCCTTCTTCTCCTGGCCGACAGTCCGAGGAATGCGGATGCTGGCGCCACGGTTTGCTACGCCAGCGGAGAAATCGTTGATGTTGGAGGTTTCATGGAATCCCGTTAAGCGCCGGGCATTGTCCAGGCCCCCCTTGGGGTCATAGGCACGAATGTGGTACTGATGCCGTTTGCTCAGTTTCTCGATGGCCTCCTCAATGAACCTGGTGGAAACAAAGGATAAATCTGATCCAGGCACCAGGAAATCTGCCCTACAAGGGCAGGAATGGGTATGAATCCATAAAGGAAATTCATTAAAATATGGTCCTCAAACAACAGAATCTCTATGAGGGCCATGACTGCCTTGCCATGTGTCCCAGTGCTCTGAACAGTGCCTGACATACAGAACCAAATCATTGTTTGTAAATGTCACAATGTACCCCCAGTACAACAGTAACATGGTAATAAAAAAAAATCATTTTGAATGAAAAAGACCCCAACCACTTGATTTTCTCCCACCATAAGCATTACGTTACATATATTGTTACTAAGTTCTTATTAAGACTTTAAATACGTAAATCCATTCAGCACCTTTCCCCTCTATTCCCTAGAGAATTATTTGGCACTTCAGAACGGAACAAAATGGTAGATTTAGAAAAATTTTGAAGCCAAGTGTCAAGAGCTAAGGCATGGATAGCGTGAGAGGTCTAGCTTACTCATTTCTGATACAAAGACTTTCAAGTCCACTTGCAAAGGAGAATTTACTAAGAGACTTGATACTCTCTTCCCAACCTTTCTGCCACCAAAGAGTAATGACAGTCCCCGTCCACGGGCACTCACTTCAGACCATTCTCCTCCCGCATAGCCTTGGTGCTGAAGTTGGTATGGCAGCCTGCACCATTCCAGTTCCCAGGAATGGGTTTAGGATCAAAGGTTGCTATCACTCCAAAGTCTTCACATACACGATGCAAGATGAAGCGAGCCATCCAGAGATGATCTCCCATGCGGATGCCTTCACAGGGGCCTATTTGGAATTCCCACTAGAAAGAATAAGAAAGTTGATCTTTAAAATAGAGCCAACTGCTTGCCTCCTAAATCTGCTCTCTTCTCACCTTTATTCCAACCCGCTCTCAAGTTTTGGGTTCGTGAGTAGTGCATGGGCTGCCCTGTCTGTCTAAGTCACCATCTGCCTATGTAGTCTGCAGTCTTCATAAAGGGGAGGAAGGTGATGGAGTAGAGCCATTTACCTGGGCAGGCATGACTTCCGCATTTGTTCCAGTAATCTTGATTCCGGCATACAAGCAGGCCCGGTAATGAGCCTCCACAATATCCCTACCATAGGCTCTGTCTGCTCCCACACCACAGTAATATGGACCTGCAGAGGTAGCAAGAGAAAAGTGGTAAAGAATCACATAATCCAGAAAATCCCAAAGTCAGAAATCAGTCCTTAACACTTGTTCTTCTGAGTCACTATCTCTGTGGGATAGGGGTGGGAGGAGGGGAGAGAGAAATCAGGAGCTCCTCATATCACAATCTCAGTGGAATCACAGGTCTCCTCCCCACCCCAATCCTTTCTCTCATTTCATACATTTAAATCCACCTCTGGATTTGGGTAACGTGAGGGATGTATGTCTTTACCATTATTTTCAGCCAGTCTCAGCTTTTTCATCCAGGAGTTGCTCCCATCTCTGGAGAGAGGAGCTTCTCTGGATAGTAAGCACTCAAGGGAAGAACAGGGTCACCCAAGGAGACTTACCTTGGGGCCCAGGGAAGCCGTTGGAAGGCCAACCAAAAGGGTGCCCATCTGTGCCCATGAGAGTATATTCTTGCTCCATTCCAAACCAAGGGTGCTGGTTGCTCACCATGTCCATTATCCGTTTACAGGTGTGTCTTAAGTTGGTCTCTAGAAAAAAGAGTCCATGTGCCATTAGGGATGTATAGGAACACATACACTGAATCTGGATGCTACTAAGGCAACAGTCCTCAGACTCTATACACATCTGAGGGGCTTATTATAGTCTGAACTGGCCTAAGGGCAAATCTTTGTGTCCTATCACTAAGTCAAGAAAATAGGAAAAGCTGTAATTGTACAGTTGCATGGACACCTCTGAAAGAGGTGTTACAATTAAACTCAGTCACAATTAAGTCACATGGGAATGGACTTAGAGCAGAGCAAAAGTGTTCACCTATCTACAAGCTGGCCATCTTCCCAGTACCAAATGCCAGGCACTTAAACCCTCTATTCACAAGACAGCTGCTTCTAGTTGTCAAACTTACTCCCTGGCATCGCAGGCACTTAAAGCCAAAGCTGTAATTTTTATTGAGAATAATTTGTCCATTAAGAGGCTTACATTCCAGGTGAGTTTAAGTGCTAAGTTATATAGTATTTGCTGTAGCAAAAGAAAAACAAGTAAGATGAGCTCAACTGAGAACAATTTAAAAGTAAAGCCACTCAACTGAGTCTTCCTGAGAACTCCAGAGATATTAGAAGTCTTCATTTTTATGAAGTTCAGAGATGTTAGATGACTCGCCCAGGTTACAGGGCAATCAGCAGAGCCAGGAAATTTAGGGTTTCTTAGCTTCAAGGTCCAGCCCCTTCCCAACAACATTGTTTCTCAAAGCAAAGGCAATGACAGTCCAAGAACCATTATGTCTCCCTGGCCATGCAGCCAGAGGCTTCACAGAAGTGAGACTTCCTCTCAGTCTTAGAAGCTAGCCACTGGGTTGCTGGAACATGCCCATAATCCTAGCTGTGTAGGAGGCTGAGCCAGCCCAGGCAAATAGTTCAAGACCCCATCTCCAAAATACCCACAGCAAAATGGACTGGAGGTGTGGCTCAAGCACTAGAGGGTCTGCTTTGCAAGCATGCAGTCCTGAGTTTAAACCCCAATACTGAGGAGGAAAAAAACCACAAAAACCAAAAAACCCTCAAAGAAGCAATTACAGCAAAGCTCAGGGTAAACACATTAATATCAGTGAACCAAGATGCTCCTATTTTCATCAGTGTATGGACAGACAAAACAAGCTGTCTGGAGTGAAACGGCAACCAACATTTGAGTACAATTGTTTCGAAATGGTTTGCCCATATTAACTCATTTAATCGTCTAAATGACTTTGAGATGGGTTTTATTAATTTCCTCCATTTGAAAATGGAAGTAGAAGAGATAATCTACTTAAGTTCATTGGTAACAACAGGACTCAAACCCACTGACTCTAGGACACAGGTTCTTAAAACCTATGGGGGCAGGCTTGAGGGCTATCACTGAGGCCTGCCATTTTACGTGACCAATAAAAAGGACCATGGAAGGATGACCACACAACCTTTTTTCAAAGAGAAAATTCAGGGTGGAGAAATAGATACCCAATCCCACAGATACTTAAAGACAGTTCTGTGACAGTGTAGCCTTTCCAATACTGCCTTTAGGATGTCATTTCCCTTTTCTAGTACAGAATTACTTCATGTACTCAGGTGAAGGCATCCATACCAATCCTACACACACCTGCAGGCTTTCGGTTATACTTGAATACTTCACACAACACCAGCTTGTTGGGATCCTTGCGGAACGGGTCCCGAAACATGGCAGCAGGAACAAGATACATGTCGCTGTTGGAGCCCTCAGATTGGTAAGTGCTGGAACCATCAAAGTTCCACTCAGGTAACTCTGGGGCAAAAAAGGAGGGAAAATTAAATTTACAGCAGTTCTCCAGGTAAGAATACAAACAGCCAAGCCCTTATCCACCTTTCCATCTCAAAAGATCTACTGTGTCTTTCCCAGAAAGTGAGGCATAAATGCCACCATCATTATATAACTTAATCTGAGTTCCAATTAAGACCATGGCATCACTCCTTAAAAGGACTTAACAGTCACAAGAACCATGAAGGACAGACTTTGTCTCTCTAAATGACTCTGATATCACTACCAATCAGTCATTTAAAATACTAAGTTGGGGAAAGATTCTGATTGTTTCACTAGCCATTGTTGCTTTCTTCATCTCCTACAAGTTCAAGTTTTGTCCTTATATATGAGGCAACAGATACCTCCAAACTATTTATTCACTTTCCCCTCTGCTTTAGAAGCTAGTTTCTTTGTCTCTCTAGTTGACTATCAGTTCTCAGAAAGCAGGAGCCAAACTCTTACCATGTATCCCCAGCAGCTGTTCAATACCAGCCACGTAACAAGTGCACAATATAGATTCTATATTATAGCCATTCATTCACTCAAATGTAAACATTATCAGAAGAGTAAGCTATTCTAAAGTAGGTAAAGGTGACCATTTTTTTCCCCCTGACCCCCTTCTCAGGAGGATGGCTATGGCTTGTTCTAGGCTAAAAACTGAAGGTCATAATTATAATAGTAGCTCCTGGAAGGGTATGTACCAGATCATTGCAGTCCCAACTAAAAACTAATGAATGGTCAATCCTATTTATAAGCCACTTTAGAACATGTGCTTGCTTTGCATCAAGAATGGTGCTGGACACAGTACTCAGGAGTCTATGAACGAGACAGCATATTCAAGTTAGAGCAGTTCTTTTAAACTGGGTTCCTGAGGGGAATCTTAGTTAAGCACAGAGGGCCAAGTCAGCAAGATGCCAGCCCCCTACTCTCCACAAACCAGACTCCATGTTTTTCTTCAATATATTTGGCTTACATACAAGACTCCATTTAAATAAATGGTTCCATTGTTGCTATGCTTTGAGGCTTAATGTTGACTGAAGTCTGAAAAGCCCTGCCTTAGAAAAGCTCTGCAAACAGAACAAAGGTCAAATCTAGTGGTTCAGTGTTGGTCCAAGGCTACTGCAGAGCCCCAGACTGCCCCTACCCCACTCCTGCCCATCTCACCTTCTACACACTTGGGCTCACAGTCCAGGGTGCGGGTCTTACAACGCAGTCCTTCTCCAGTTCCATCAATCCAGATGTACATGGCTTGAACTTTCTCTCCCTGCGGCAGGGACATATACATCTGCTTGATGCCCTTGTTCAAATGGGAACTTGCTGAGGTGGCCATGGTGGAAGGAGCTCTGGAGAGAGAAAAAGTACTATCATCAACACCCGCTCCAAACTGATCCGATGCAGAGGAAGGCTTAAACAACTGAATCACAAAGTTATGAAGCGTGAAGTCAGGCAAGGTGGTTCATGCCTGTGATCTCAATTGTTCTGAAGGCAGAGGCAGGAGGATGAGAGTTCAAAACCAACCCAGGCAAAAACAAAATAAAGACTAGTGGAATTCTGAGGTGTTGATTTCAAAGAGCAATTTATACAGGGAAAAGATATGACTTGGGAGTTTCTTCTGGCTGTCTCTTAGTTTCATAGAGCTCAAAACAAATAAAATAGGGCTAGGAGTATGGCTCAAGAGATAGAACAGCAAGCAGAAGCTGGCCCTGGGTTCAATCCTCGGTATCACCAAAAAAAAAAAAAAAGAAGTTGGGGGGAGGTGAGAAATCAACACATCTAAAGGTACATTTATTCCCTCTGCCTTCAGAGGGTTTAAAATATTAAATTAGGCCAAGATTTATTCCCTTGATGTAGCTAAGGTAGGGGAATCTTTTGAAATAATAAGCTAGTCGGTGGGAACAAAAAAATAATGAAAAGCTCAGTAATAAAGTTCGCCCTCTCTTGTTACAAGTGTAATCCAGCCACAGAAAGACTTGGCTGTGGCTTCTGCTGAGTCTTCCCTTTGCCTTGGATTCTAGCTGTGCTCTGAAAGGAGACTTCCCCTCTCCCTCAAAACCCTCCCCATATTCAGATTTGTAGATGAAACAAGGCTGACAGCTTCCTGAAAGAAGTAAGACCTGCCCTATCACCCAGATGGTGAAAATAGCTGATACAAATCAGATTCAAAAGCACATGCTGTGTAATTTTCATTGGTGTGATGATGGAAAGTTCTTACTTCAAAAGATAGACTTGAGATTTGGGTGTGAACATAGTATCTGGTCATTCCATTAAATAACCTTTTCAAGTACACAATTCCTACTTCTAATTAAAAAAATGCATGGGATTTCAAAGGCTCTAAGACATGCTACAGACTGCAAGTCACTGCCATGAAATCTCTGAAAAGAGAAGCTGAAGTCACAAAACCAGCCTCAACACAAGAGAAAATGTTTCCCCTCCCTCCTGGCCCAGGGCGGCTGGAGAGGGAACATATTGTTCTCCTCCAATGACTTGGGCAACTTTCTGAAGTACAGTGGCAAAGTTTCTACGGGCAACCATCCATGTTTGCCCAGCTGAAAACAACAGCTTCTCCAACAGCCTCACCCTTCCCCTTGGGGAACAGAACAACCTTGCCTGACAAGTCCTATCAGAGAAGGCAACACCTTTGCCTTCAGGGTCTAGAAGACCTGGTGTGAAATCCCACCTCCCATCCCTAGGGGCCAGGACTCTAATTCCAGACCCCTTCAGCTCCCTCTGAAGGCTACCACCAGTTTCCAACCTATTACACCACCAAAGTCAAATCATACTTTCCCTCAAGACCAGCTGGATGCCAGCAGCCTAGTGTACTGACTGTATCAACTCGGACCCCATGGTGCCAAGTTCATGTGTAGGGAATGGGTCCTAAAATTTTTGGCACTGTGTGCTGCCACCAGCGCCCGGGTCCTCCTCCCTGTCGGCTCACTCACCCCAGCCACTTTTGGTCAAAGATAGTGGGGTTGCCCTGTTTAGCCCTCTTCTTTTTACAGCTGTGTTCGCGTTTCTCCTCACTCTCGGTGGTCTCGTTCTCTTGCTGCTCTAAGCACCGTTGTTTTCTGGGCGAGGGCGAGGGCGAAGGCGAGGGCGATGGAGTGGGGGACCCAGAGCGGTCGGACCGGGAGACGCTGGAATAGGTAGACGTTTGTTGGTTCAAGCCTTTACCCTTGACTCTCGAGTTCACAGAGTAGGCGACGAAGCCAAAGCAGTGGGAGGGGGATTCGGAGGACCGTGAATCCTTGTCTTCATCTTCAGCTGATGTTTTCTTCGCGGATCTACGACTGCTGGGGGAGGAGCCCCGCTTCCCGCCCCCGGAGGAGTTGGGATAATCCACTTTGAGAGCAGCCCTTTCCCACTGAAATGTCCTGAAAGTCGGCGCTTCGTCCCTCGCGCCCGCGTTGACCTCAGGGCCTCCCCCAGGGTGCCATGCCCAGCGAGGGCAGAGGACGGGTAGGGGAAGTGGGGAACCTGCGGGAAGGTCCGCACGCAGCTGCTGCCTCTGCCGGGCCGGACCTCCCCTCTCCACTGCGGCGCCCTGGCCACGCCACCGCCGGGCTCTCCATTGTTCCGTCACACTGGAAGGGGCCGGGGGACCCCGAGGCAGGAGCCGGCCTAGCTGAGTACTTTCAAGGTGGCTACCCGCCTCTTAGACCACGGGTACCATGGCGAGTCCCCAAAACGCGCCATCGCGGAGGAAGCGAGCAAGGCGCCTGCGCCCACCCAGAGCCAGGCGTGCGCTCCAGCAGGGGACTACAAGGCCACTTGGTCCTTTGCGCACTTGCCACCCCTGGGCGCCGGCTTCCGGGGGGCGGTGCCTCGGGTCGCAAAAGTAGCTCAAGATCAAAACAACCCTTCCCCCGCCCTTCTCTGAGCCTGGCCAAGGGCGCACCCCACCTTCGCCAAGCCACTCGGCCCCAAGCAGCAGGCGGCCGACACACGAGGGAAGCACGATTGTGGGGACACTGGGAAGGGAGGCCGGAGCGCACAGCAAGAGACAGAAGGGAAGCGGCGGGCAGTGACGGGGATCGCGGGTGGCGCACACCGCCCGGGCATCCCGGGGCCGGCCGCGCGCTTACCTGGGCGGAGAGCAGACGGGCGGCGAGAGCGAGGTGAGGACAGTGGAGACGAGGTCGAGGTGCCGCTCAAACGCTCCCTTCGCCTCTCATTCTCGGCTCTGCGGGGCTGCCCGCTGCTCGGCACTCTTTATCTGCGGCCCCGGGGCCGCCCCCCGGCGCGTTGATTGGCTCTTGGCGGCCGGGAGCCCGAGCCCATCTGCTGATGCGCGCCGGGGCCCCGCGGCCATTGGGCGCAGCGCCTCGCTGGCACCGCCCGCTGTGGCGAGAGAGCCGGCGAGAAAGAAAGAGAAAGGGCCGGGGGAGGGGCGGGGACGAGACAGTGGGCCGCTGGCTGCGCGCGGAGGGACCCGGCCTGGCCTAGGCTGGCCTGGAAGGGGAGCCTCCGCCACCCGCCTGCCGGTGCTGCCTTTACCCCCTAGGGAAACCCAGAACCGCAGAACCCGCTTTTGCCCTTTGTTGTGAGACCCTCGTAGCCCTTCTTTTCCTCCCTCTACCTCTAAGTTTGATAGGGACTGCGGGAAGCAGGAGCCAGGGGAACCCCAGCTGGAAAGGGATCTGGTTCCCAACGCGTGGACGGGCCTACCTCTCTAGCTCCCTTAGCGGGTTTGGAAAAGTGAACAGAATTCCTTGATTTCATATTTTTAACCCAAGTACTGCGTTTGTGTAATTCCCTAGAGAGGACCACCAGGGCAGTAAGAAAGTTAGGAGACCTGTCTGATACTGCCTCAGGTGGACCATCAGACTCTTTGGGCCCAGGTTTCGTTATCTACAAAATAAGGACCATTAGAGCAGGTGAAATTGCTGTGTGCACACTGCCCTAAGGGCAGCTAAAGAAAAACAGGTCTTCCCCAGGACCCCTTTGAAACAGAGCTCATCAAAAATTGTGGATTCCTTAAAGGAATGCTCCCCTGGCTTCGCTTTCTAATTAATTTATTATGGCTTCGTTTTAATCTGGAAAATGAGAATATATTTTGTCCTTCTCTCAGCCTAGCAGTGATGGTTGAGAAAATGTGTATGTAGACAGTGTTTTGAGATGAACCCTTGACATGTACACAATTCATGCATGTGCATGGAGACACAAAAATACATACTTCGATCAGTGTTAATTCTTGAGCATTCTATCTTTAGTGCCTGAAATCCACCTGATGGTGTCTGCCCTTTTTTATATCTTTCAGGAGTGCCAATATTTGAGACTGAGATTTTTCTGTTTAAAGACTAAGCATCCATGCTTCCAGAGCATTTGGAAGAGGAAGGGAAGAAGTTTGTTCTGGTTATGTTTTGTACCTCAAATATGAAAAAGAAATGTTGCCTGTGACCAAATGCACATAACATGGGTTCTTTGGTCAACATTCCTTTAAGTGTGTTTAACACAGTAGTACCTTTTTTGTTTGTTTGGGGTTTTTTTTGGCAGTACTGGGGTTTGAACTCACGGCCTCACTCTTACCACTTGACCAACTCCACCAGCCCCAACAGCAGTACTTTCAAATGACAGATGTTGCTTTTATCTCAAACGGGGCTTTAGTTTGAGATCATTTACTTCCTTATTCGATTTCAGCACAGACCCTGGAGCATTCTCTGGTGGTCAAGGGCAGGACTGCAGATTAGACAAACCTAGGTTCTCATCGGGGCTTTCCTCTTACCATAGCCATGGTGTTTGCCAAGTTGTTATAGCCGCACAAGGCCTCGGTTTCCTTGTCTATAAAATAGGGATAATAATAACTACCTTATATATTATGGGGATTGATTGTGAGCATGTGTGTAGCAGAGATTAAGGCAGGACCAGGAATATAGTAAGTGTTTAGAAACAGTGATTATCACTATGATCAGCCAAAATAATCCGAAGAGATTGGATTACTTCTTTCCCCATGGCCATTCCATAAATACAACTTTTCAACCTCAGTGTGATGCCCCACTGTAATTTTGGTGAAAGTGAGCACAGACCTGGTAAATAGCTGTCCTCATTCTATTTCTTTCTGTAAAATCTTCAGCTTAGGTGGTTGGAGAGAGGAGCAGAAGAGGGGAAAGGTAGTGTTCTTGTTTTAAAAGACATTGATTTCCAGATAGCAAACACCCAAAGCACAAAGCAGAGCTTTCACTTGCATTCAGCCACATCAGCACCTGAGGTAGGGATGGCAAACATCATAGAAGATGCGATAGCAAGAGGCAAATGCAGTGTTTTAAGCTTATGGCATTTCTGCCACATGAATGCCTACTTCCCTTGCCATGTATGTTAAACTCCTTAGCATTATCTCCATATCCCCAGCAATGCCCGGGGAGAACATTTATTGATCAGTGAACATTTATTGACCACACAGAAATGGCAGCGGCACCATCAAGAGAAAACACGCGCTTTGAGCTGCTTTTCCAAGAATGGAAATGGATTTGCTTTGATCCTTTCATGTGACTCGAGGCATGCTTTGTGAGGGTTAGGGACATAAACACGTGACCACTGACTCTTTCAGGAGTGAACAAGAAGCCTTGCCTCCTTGATCAGTTCCATATTTATTTAAATTAGCCAAATTAGGTTCTGGTGAGTTCAAGTATTGACCAGGGAAGCTTAAGAGTATACCATGAAAGAAGAAGCAGAAGAAAGTCTTTTAACCAGTGTGTCCCCACCAAAACCAGACTATACTTTTAGAGAAGTTAAAAAGTAGAACGCCCTGTCTCATCCACTTGGACTTTGCTGTGTCTGCTCCCCTTTGTCTTCCCCCCTCTTCCTAAATTGCCACTCCCCCATTTTCTACCCCCTCCATAAAATTAGCTTGAACCCATGAACTTTTTAGTCTCTGCACACACAGAATCAAAGCCGATGAGGTTCGATGGCCTGTGCTTTGAAGTCATGGTTTTTCTCTTTGTCCCAGGGGTGGGTGGAGTGGGAGAACAATATTAGTTTCTTCCAAATCTGCAATAATAGTCCAGGACAAACCACATCTCTTCAACATACCTGAACTGAAGGCCTGGTCTTGAGTGAGCTTTCTGTGTGAGTTTTCATGTTCTCCTTTACAGGACCCGTTCTTACTCTGCAGGTCTGAAGCCCATCATCTAGCATTCAGACTGCTTTCTCGATGCCTGCGTGATTTCCGTGCACTCAGTACACAAGATTTCAACACACAATCTCATTTAGGGATCAAAGAGACCCAAACGCTCAGCCCCAAAGTGCTGCTTGGGAAATGTACTTCATTTATGTGTGAATGATTTCAAGGGATAATCAGTGAAACTTTAAATCAGGCTAAAGAGAGATAATTGAGACTCAGAGTTGGGGGACATCTGAAAACCCAAGCCAGATTGTATCTTAAAAAAAAACCAAAACAACAGTTCTTTATAATCTTTTTAAAATAATCAGTTCTATCCAAAAGAATAGGCCATAATAGAATATAAACCAAAACCAAATGAAAAAATAAAAAGGAAAGCATTGGAAGTTGATAGCATTGCTCTTAAGCCTTTTAAAGTGTATTTTGGGAAGAAGGTATAGTTGACCAAGCTTTCAAATTTCACTCTAAACAAAGAAGGAAAGAACACATTACCCTTCAGTTTAGCAACGTAACACTGAGCACAGGAGGAATGGTTCTTTATATGCCTTAATTGCTTGATAATTCTTCAGCTCAGGAGAGGAAATTTGAAGTTTGCAACCCAAAGGTCTTTTTTTAGCCCTATTTGAATTTGGTTGAATGTTGATTGAACTCATTCAAATACAGGGAATACCCCATTTCCCAAACTGCACATTGGGGTGGAAGGTTTGGGTCTGTTTGACTTCTACCCCAAATCTTATCTCTGCTAGGAAACTACTGGAAGCATTGGAAAGAACACATTCGTTCTATCTCACAGCATGGGAAAATAAAGTCCTACTGAGAAAATTAAAGGAGTAAAGTCTAGAATTCGATCTTTACATCCTCTTATCTAAGATGAAGTATTGAGACCTACATAACTTGTAACTTGTCAAATGTTAGTATTTCACAGCCTAAGGTGCTTCTACTTCCTCTGAGACACTCCTCTGCATCCTTTCTGCTCCCTTTCCTTCAGACACCTCAGTGGTGTCCTGGGACACTGCTTTCAACATACTGAAGCTCTTGCCATATTCACCAAGGAAAGTACAGAATGCAGGAACTAATTAACCAGTTCACTCCAGAATCCTACACTATGGTTACCTGGTGACTTCTGTGTAGTGAACAGTTAATGCATATCTTTATATTATTGTTGTACTGGGGTGCACTGTGACATTTACAAAAGTTCTTATAGATCATAGTTGAATTCACACCCATCATTTTCCTTTATCCTCTTCCCCTAATTCCTGGAATATGTACATAAGTACATATTATCTCCACCATATAATATCGTCTTTGTGACTAGCTAAATTACATTCTCTTTGAAAGTATGTTTAGAGGGGCTGGGTTATAGCTCAATGGTATAGCATGCTCCAGCATGCTCAAAGGCCCTGGATTCAATCAGCACCAAAACAACAAAACAAAGCAAAGAAAAACAAAAACCACCCATCAATATGAAGGAATCTTTGGAGTTTATTTTTCATATATAATCTGTAGTTTCATCATTTTAAGAATCTGGGACTTTTCGGTCTTTGTTCCCTAGATTAATAGGAACATTATTGAAGCTTACTTAAAAGTTTAGGAAATTCAGCATTCTGATCAAAAAATTACTTGGCTAAGAGAAATCCTCAACTGGATCCATTTCTTTTCCCTCACCCCAACCCCATTAGTTCATTTGGATCCCTGTTTATTTCGCATTTGTCTGCCAAATTTGAACAGGAAACAAACAGCCCTAGGGTATGTTTTTTGGGCACTTGGGCATTATTGAGCCTGCTTCTGTACTTTTCCCTCCCTCTTCTCCCCCACTTCTTTTAAACTGGTTCTTGGGAGACTTGTTTACCCGGGCTGGGTAGATGCTTGGACAGGGTAATGGGAACATAGTGCCCTCTGCTGGAATTTTGTGAGAATTACAATCCTCCCCCACAGCTTGAGTTCCTGACGGGCCTTCCTGGGGAGAACCTTTCTGTTATGTCTTCCTTATGATAAATTAATAATATGAAAGTGCTTAGTTTGCACTGGCTACTAGAGAGATAGTATGTTGCTTGATTACCAGGG